CCCCCCCCCCCCCCCCCCGCCTCCAAACAGGCAAGGCCACAGATCCCAGAATCTCCCGGATGGAGGAGGAAGGCTTCTTTGTGGTAGCTCCTCCCACTTGGAACACCTGCCTGGCTGGAGTCAATGGGCCCCTCCAGCCCCGCCCACTCCCGCGTTCAGTCCCCGCCTCCTTCGCCTTAGCAACCATTCAACACCCTGGTTCCCACGTTCGACAGAGTTGCCTTTGCTTCTTTGGTTCCCATCCAGAACTCATGCTCCAGATTGTGACTATGGGGCGACGAGGAAGGGGGCTTCCGCCGGAGGAGTAAGTCCTGCGCCCTTCAAAGAGGACAGACAGAATTGATTATCCTTCACCCTGCTTGGCTTTCAAGGGGGTGCATCTGCACTGGGGAATTAAAGCAGTTTGGCACCACTTTAACTGCGTATGGCTCAAGGCTATGGAATCCTGGGAGTAGCAGTTTGGTGGGGCACACAGCACACTTTGGCATGAAACTGCCTCTCACATGATTCCATAGCCTTGAGGCATAAGCAGTTAAAGTGGTGCCAAACTGCTTTAATTCCACAATGCAGACGCACCCCCTTGAAAGCCAAGTGGTGTCAAACTGTGAGCCCTTCCCCACAGCCATAATCACCCAGAATATCGAGGCAGGTAAGCCACAATATCTGCTTTGAACCGGGTTATCTGAGTCCACACTGCCATATAATCCAGTTCAATGTGGATTTTATCATTGTACAGCATAGATGCACCCTCACACTAGAACAGTGGTTCTCAACCTTCCTAACGCCGCAACCCCTTAATACAGTTACTCATGTTGTAGTGACCCCCAACCCTAAAATTATTTTAGTTGCTACTTCATAACTGGAATTTTGCTACTGTTATGAATTGTCATGTCAATATTTATTTATTTATTATTTATTTATTTACCTTACTTATATACCGCTGTTCTCAGCCCGAAGGCGACTCACAGCGGTTCACAACAAATACGAACAGCAAAAATTCAGTGCTACAGTATCTGATAGGCAAGATGTATTTTCATTCTTTGGACCTTGGGAGTTGTAGTTGCTAGGATTTATAGTTCACCTATAATCAAAGAGCCTTCTGAACTCCACCAGAGATGGAATTGACCCAAACTTGGCACATAGAACGCCTATGACCAGCAAAAAATAATGAAAGGGTTAGGTGAGCATTGGCTTTGAGCTTGGGAGTTGTAGTTCACCTATCTCCAGAAAGCACTGTGGACTCAAACAATGATGGATCTGGACCAAACTTGGCACGAATACTCAATATGCATAAATGTGAACACTGTTGGAGTTTGGGGAAAATAGACCTTGACATTTGGGAGTTGTAGTTGCTGAGATTTATAGTTCACCTACAATCAGAGAGCATTCTGAACCCCACCAACAATAGAAATGGGCCAGACTTCCCACCCAGAACTCCCATGACCAGCAGAACTGTGTATCCTGATGGTCTTTGGCGACCCCTCCGACACCCCATCGTGACCTCCCCCCGGGGTCCCGACCCCCAGGTTGAGAAACACTGCACTAGAAGCAAGCCTAGCATTAAGGTCCCTTCTACACTGCCATTTCAAGTCCTGATTATCTGCTTTGAACTGGATTATATGGCAGTGTAGACTCAGATAATCCGGTTCAAAGCAGATAATGTGGATCATATGGCAGTTTAGAAGGGGACAAAGTTGCAGGACAGATTCCCAAGAAACTCCCATCCATACTTAAAAGTTTTTTATGTTGGGTAAGTTTACTCAAGGTGCATCTTGGGTGGGAATCAGTGTGCTCTCTGGTTGTAGGGTAAACTACAATTCCCACTATGGTGGGTCAGTGCCCTCAAACCTCTCCAGTAGGTTGAGTTAGTCATGGGGGTTCTGTGTGTCAAGTTTGGTCCAGGTCCATCATCAGTGGAGGTCACAGTGTCTCTGGTTGTGGGTGAACTACAACTCCCAGAAAGGAGTTGTAGTTCACCACCCAAACCCCTCCAGTAATCAAATTTCAGCATATCAGGTATGTGTGCCAAGTTTGGTCCAGATCCATCGGTGTTTGGGTTCACAGTGCTTTCTGGATGTAGGTGAACTATAGCTCCCCTAAATCAAGGTGGGAGCCTGTCTGTGTAGGTGGATAACCCAGGCACACACATCCATATCTTTACTTTTATTATGTGTATAGACAGAAAATAGATAGAAAGATCAATAGAAGATGCTTGGAAAGTAGTCAAGAGTAGGCCCCTTCCATGCAGCTGTATAAAATCCAGATTGAACTAGATTATATGGCAGTATGGACTCAGATAACCCAGTTCAAATCAGATATTGTGGGGGTTTTTTTGTCGTGTCAGGAGCGACCTAAGAAACTGCAAGTCGTTTCTGGTGTGAGAGAATTGGCCGTCTGCAAGAACGTTGCCCAGGGGACGCCCAGATGATTTGATGTTTTGTCATCCTTGTGGGAGGTTTCTCTCATGTCCCCGCATGAGGAGCTGGAGCTGATAGAGGGAGCTCATTTGCCTCTCCCCGGATTTGAACCTGCAACCTGTCAGTCTTCAGTCCTGCCGGCACCGGAGTTATCTGCCTTCATAATCTGGGTTATATAGCTGTGGGGAAGGGCCTGTGGAATGTGGATCAACCAGAGCTAATTGGATCGATTGAGGGAGGGATTACCATTCCCAATATCCCCATGCTGTCTGGGAGTTTTAGTGCAAAAATTATTCTTTTTCCCAGCTCTGGTCTAAACCACCTTCTCATTTGAACACGAGGAAGAACTTCCTGACTGTGAGAGCTGTTCAGCATTGGAACTCTCTGCCCCGGAGTGTGGTGGAGGCTCCTTCTTTGGAGGTTTTTCCACAGAGGCTGGATGGCCATCTGTCGGGTATGCTTTGAATGCAATTTTTCTGCTTTTTGGCATGGGGTTGGACTGGATGGCCCATGAGGTCTCTTCCAACTCTTTGATTCTATGATTCTATGATTTAATCCCTGGCAATTGTAACTGCATGTAAGCCAACAAACATAAAATCAAGAGCAGAGAAGTCTAAAGACCTTTTAAAACTGCAGTCCCCATAATTCCGTAGCATTGAACCAGTTGGGGCCCTACCACACAGCCCTCTGTCCCAGAATTTCAAGGCAGAAAATCCCACAATATCTGCTTTGAAACTGGGTTATCTGAGTCCACACTCAGATAATGTAGGATTTCCTGCCTTGATATTTTGGGAAATAGGGCTGTGTGGAAGAGCCCAAAGTGTCCAGCTGCATTCATTCTACAATATTGATAAGTCCTTTGTTTGTATCCCTTTAATAATTTACAGATTTAGATTCCACTTTACCACTTTATAGACATCTCTCTTAAAATCCTCAGATCCTACAGCAAGAATAATAGAATCATAGAGATGAAAGAAACCTCGTTGGCCATCCAGTCCAACCCCCTGCCAAGAAGCAGGAAAATCCTATTCAAAGCATCCCCGACAGATGGCCATCCAGCCTCTGTTTAAAAACCTTCAAAGAAGGAGCCTCCACCACACTCTGGGGCAAAGAGTTCCACTGCTGAACAGCTCTCACAGTCAGGAAGTTCTTCCTAATGTTAAACGGAATCTCCTTTCTTATAGTTTGAAGCCATTGTTCCACGTCCTAGTCTCCAGGGCAGCAGGAAAAAAGCTTGCTCCCTCCTCTCTATGACTTCCCCTCACATATTTATACATGGCCCTCACCCTGTCTCCTCTCAGCCTTCTCTTCTTCAGGCTAAACATGCCCAGCTCTCTAAACCGCTCCTCATAGGGCTTGTTCTCTAGAACCTTGATCATTTTAGTCGCCCTCCTCTGGACACATTCCAGCTTGTCAACATCTCACTTCAACTGTGGTGCCCAGAATTGGACACAGTGTGATTCCAGGTGTGGTGTGACCAAGGCAGAATAGAGGGGTAGCATGACTTCCCTGGATCTAGACACTAGACTTCTATTTATGCAGACCAAAATCCCATTGCCTTTTTTTGCCATTGTTGGCTCATGTTTAACTTGTTGTCCACGAGGACTCCAAGATCTTTTTCACATGTACTACTGTCGAGCCAGACATTAGGCATTTCATTTTTTTTTCTGCCTAAGTGGAGTATCTTGCATTTGTCCCTGTGGTACTTCATGTTGTTAGTTTTGGCCAATCATCTCTCTAATCTGTTAATTTAATTTTGAATTCTGCTCCTGTCTTCTGAAGTATTTGCTATCCCTCCAAATTTGGTGTCGTCAGCAAACTTGATGATCATGCCTTCTAACCCTTCATCTAAATCTATATAAATAAAAATGTAATGTTTGTTTGTGGGATTAACATAACTCAAAAACAAATTGACATCAAATTTGGACACAATACACCTCTCAGGCCAATGAGTGACCATCATTCATTACAACACATGCACAAAACCATATATGCGCAAACACACATATATACACATACACACAGAAAGGGGGAAGGAAGGAAGGAAGGAAGGAAGGAAGGAAGGAAGGAAGAAGAGAAAGAGGAAAGAAGGAGGTAAGGAGAGAAGGAAGGGAAGAAAGAAAGGTAGAAAAGGAAAGGAGAGAAGGAAATAAAAAAGTGAAAGAAGGAAGGAAAGAGAGAGAGAAGGAAGGAGAGAAGGAACGAAAGAGAGAAAGAGGGAGGGAGGGAAGGAAGGAAGGAAAGAGACAAGGAAGGATGGAACCAAAGAGCAAATAGAAAGGAGCAAAGAAACAGGTAGAGAAGGACGAAAGAAGGGAAAGAAAAAGGAAATAAAGGAAAGAGGAAGGGAAGGAAGGAGAGAAAGAAAGAAGGAGAGAAAGAGGGATGGAAGGTTGGCCACAGCAACATGTGGCAGGTACAGCTCATCTGTATGTATAAAAATGTAATGTTCGTTTGTGGGACTAACATAACTCAAAAACCACTGGACGAATTGACACCAAATTTGAACACAATACACCTAGCAGGCCAACGAGTGATCATCACTCATAAAAACACTGAAAAACACAGTGGAAGAGACTTAAAGGCCAAAAATTTAAAAAAAACATTACAATGCATGTGCAAAACCACATATATACACACATATATACACATACAAAACATGTATACACAGACTGGGCCACAGCAATGCATGGCAGGGGATGGCTAGTCATTAATAAAGATGTTGAACAGGACCAGGACGCAACCCCATGGCACTCCACTTGTCACTTCTTTCCAGGATGAAGAGAAGCAAGATTGCATGGTCAAGATCTGATTGTCTATAGAACTGCACTGGAGATTCTTAGGCACCTTCTCCATTGCCTTGTAATCCAGATCATCAAAGCAGATCCACATTATCTTCTTTGAATTGGATTATGAGTCTACACTGCCATATAATCCAGTTCAAAGTAGATAATCTGGATTTTATATGGCAGTGTAGAAGGGGCCTAAAACAGTAGAACATTGCTATAACCATGTAGCCGAAGGAGGTCCCTGGAGGGAGCGTTGGGCGTCATGCACTTTGCCAGATCCAATCAGAGACGGGAGGGAATGGTTGGAGGCCAGGCTTGGTTAAGTAGAGATAAAAGTCATTAGAGGAGAGATTCGATCAAACCACATCCGAGGAAGGGGTGATGGAGAGACCTTGGGTTGACGTCTCAGAGGCGGCTGCTGATAAGAAGGCTAAGAATAGGCAGGAGACAGTCGTGTGTTTGGAATGAGTTCCCGGCAGGATATGAAGGGTCTGGATGGGGGCGGAAGGCAATTATTGTCTATGGATGACAGAAGCAAAAGCAGTGGATAGATTGGACAGGCAGGGAAGACAAACACAAAATCTCATTGTTGGCTCCAGCTAGAGAAAAACCCAATTGGATCAAATCACAAATAAAAAGTTGACACTTATGTAAAACCCAGTGATTTGATGAGTCTACTCTGGGAAAGGCTAGTGATTAGAATAAGCCCAGGAATGCAAGGCACGACAAAGAAGAATGTTGAATGGGATCATTCCTTGCTCATGAATTTTTGAATGAGAGCCCCCTAAACAGCTGCTTATCTGGAATGAGAGGAGAGTATTTTTGGTACTTAGTCGGTTGAAAGGCCATGGACCTGGCATACCATTGTGGCAGCAGCCCAAGTGTGTGTAGCAAAGGGACTGAGAATCCACCACTATGAGAACTATAATACTATGTAACACAATTTTTGTTCCTGGGTTATACATGTCATTTCTGAATTGCTCCTATCATAAAAATGTGGAAAAGGTTTATTAAACTGCAAAAACTTTGGGTTGCCGTGAATTTTCCAGGTTGTATGGCCATGTTCCAGAAGCATTCTCTCCTGACGTTTCGCCCATATCTATGACAGGCATCCTCAGAGGTTGTGAGGTCTGTTGGAAACTAGACAAGTGGGGTTTATATATCTGTGCAATCATGTCCAGTGTGGGCGAAAGAACTCTTGTCTGCTTGAGGCAAGTGTGAATGTTGCAATTGGCCACCTTGATTAGCACTGAATGGCCTTGCAGCTTCAAAGCGTGGGTGCTTCCTACCTGGGGGGATCCTTTGTTGGGAGGTGTTAGTTGACCCTGATTGTTTTCTTTCTCCCACCCTGGACCCTAACTGGCCTTTTGATTTGAAGAGTTCAGGAAGGAGAACTGTTTCAATTTTAATTCCTTGACTCTTAATAGAAACGACACTTAGCTTATAACAGAATTGCAGATCGATGTTACTTGATTTATTTATTTCCAGCATTTCTACCCCGTCCTTCTCAACCCCCGAAGGGGGACTCAGGACAGCTTACACTTGACAACAATTCGATGCCACAACATATAACACATGCAACAATTTAACAACAATTTAAAGCAATAAATAGAACATTAATTAAAAAATAAAAACAGTATTGTCAGCCATATCACAATTCCAGTCCAATTCCAGATTCAAAGTGCTGTTATACGTGCTGTCCAAAAGCCTGGTCCCAGAACCAAGATTTCAATGTCTTCCTAAAAGACAGGAGGGATGAAGCCGATCTTATTGATGAGTCTCATTGACTATTAAGTCACTAGTATAGTATGTTATACCATTTTTGTATTTTAGATTGCAATGTATTTTAATGAAAACATGTTTACATTTTTAATCTGCTGGTCTTTGACCAAAGAAAATGGAGCTGAATTGCCTCCCCATTCTGGTTGTCAGAATAGCGTTAGTATCCTGCAGAATGTCTCGGCCCCTTTTACTCTCAGTGTGATAAAAACTCAAAAAAAAAAATACCCATGAGTCTTTCGCTTTGAGTAGAAACAAAAATATAGTTCTATTCATTGTGGATCAAAAACACAAAGCAAAACAGAAGAATTGCTCTCACCATTATACAACAAACAATATGTCCGGTGAGTCTTCATCTTTACATGATGATATGCCTGTGGGCTGAGAGGGACAGTATATAAGTATAGTAAATAAATAAATAAATAAATAGACATGCTAACACATAGCAAAATAATACAGTCTCTCTACTTAGTTATCAGTAGAATGTCCTTATCATGCCAGCAGTTATCATAGCAAGCGGTTTCCTTGGCATTCCAAATGGCTTCAGTCTTCAGCTTCAGGACGCTGCGTAACCACTCCCAGCAACAGCCAAAGGTTTCTTCAACTCAAAAGAGCCATCAAGCTAAGCCAAATGCAAAGCTCAAAGCTTGCAAATCTAGTGCCTTGTTATATGTTGAAACAGATAACACACCCAATAAACTTGTGGCAGCTGTAACAGAAAAGGTTCTGATCTTCCCTTTTACTTAGAAAAAGCCTGTTGTAAACTTCTAGTAGCAACACTGGTGTCTTTTGGATGGTGACGCCCATCACCCTCAGCCAGCAATGATGGGTATTAACTCAATTTATCTGGAGGGCATGAAGCTAGAATTGGAAAAGGCTAATAGAAATATTAATAGCCATACCTATGAACAAAGAAGCATTTTAGCTCCTTCCTTTTACTCTCTCCCACTGCCTTCCCTTTTGTATTTTTCACCCACTCATATTTTATTTTGACCTCCTGGTTGAACTCTTAATCCATTCTGTACTTGTTATAAGATATGCTATTGGGATGAAATTCAAGTCCTTTATAAAATACCCATTATTTTAACCTGAGGGAGGCATCTGTGGTGCTTAAAGCTTTTTTAAAATTATTGGTGCATATAGACTTGCATTTTAAATTATATATATGTGTGTGTGTGTGTGTGAGAGAGAGTTTGGCCTTTAAAAGAAATTGTTGTTTTCTGAATACTCAAAGTTCTGCCTGGTTATATTTTCCAGCCGCGATACCTTCAGAGTATTTAATATTGAAATCCCACAAAGGAATAACATATATGAAAAGATGCCAGAAATATATAAGCCAGGGAAACCGAAACCCCGGTATACGTTGGAATGGCGCCATAATCCCCAGCCGATACATGCGAAATTCATTAAGACAAACACCAAATTTTTGAACGAGCCAGTACTTTACATGGAAACGGAGGACACCAAAAGAAAGCAGGTGAGAACATATAATATTTATTTATTTATTTACGACATTTCTACCCCGCTTTTCTCAACCCCGGAGGAGACTCAAGGCGATTTTACACATAGGCAACTATGTGTAAACTATTGATGCCTTAAAGCAGTGTTTCTCAACCAGGGAAGGTCGCGAGGGGGTTTCATAGCTGTCACCAAAAACAATCAGAAAACACATGTTTCTGATGGTCTCAGGAACCCCTTTGGCAGAGAAGGCTGAAGATCTCTCTGCCTGTCCTTCTCTTCCTTTTTGGAAACAGACGGTGAATCCTCCCATCAAAAGCCCCCCTCCACTGTGATTGACCAGCCTCTCAATCAAAGGGAGGGCTGTTTCTGAGACTCCAAGTGGGGAGGGGAGAGCAGGCATCCTCAGCACATGGCAGCGTGGTGTGTATGTACAGGCGAGGGAGAGCGTGCTAGGCTGGAGGGAGGCTCATGCCATTGAGTCCCTTCATTGCATGGGGGTTCTGTGTGGGAAGTTTGGCCCAATTCTATTGTTGGCGGGGTTTGGAATGCTCTTTGATTGTAGGTCAACTATAAATCCCAGCAACTACAACTCCCAAATGTCAAGGTCTATTTTCCCCAAACTCCAACAGGGCATATTGAGTATTCGTGCCAAGTTTGGTCCAGATCTATCATTGTTTGAGTTCACAGTGCTCTCTGGTTGTAGGTGAACTACAACTCCAAAACACAAGGTCAATGCCCACCTAACCCTTCCAGTATTTTCTCTTGGTCATGGGAGTTCTGTGTGCCAAGATTGATTCAATTCCATCATTGGTGGAATTCAGAAATAAATCTCAGCAACTACAATTCCCAAATGACAAAATCAGTCCCCTCCCCCCAACCCCACCAGTATTATAATTTGGACGTATTGGGCATTTGGGCCAAATTTGGTCCACTGAATGGAAATACAACCTGCATATCAGATATTTACATTACAATTCATAACAGTAGCAAAATTACAGTTATGAAGTGGCAACAGAAATAATTTTATGCTTGGAGGTCACAACAACATGATTGGATTAAGGGGTCGTGGCATTAGGAAGGGTGAGAAACACTGCCTTAAAAATCTACAATTAAAATGAACATTTAAAATAGAATAAAAATACATTTAAACGATTAAAACATTTTAAACAATATTATATAATAATAATATAATAATATATTATATAATATTATTATAGAACTAGAACTGCCATGGCAATATCATGTGGCATTCTTGGATTTGTAGTTCAGTGGGGCCCAAGAGCTCTCTGGCTGAGAATTCTGTATGGCCCTCCCTAAACTGCAAATCCAAGATTTGTTGTTGAGGTATGATGTTGTATGATGTTGCCAGGTAGTTCAATAGGAACAAAAGTGACCTGTACAGCGTGACATGTGTTGTAAGGTGATGTTTTGTTTGAATGTACTCTAAACTGTTCTCCCTCTGCTTTTGAAACTTTGAGGGGCTTCATTTCTTCAGATGTTTTCATATCATTTTAATCTTTTGTTTTTTTTTAAGCAACATGTGGTTACTTATATTCTGTATCCATTAGTTGTTATGAATCCCAGTCCCAGGGAAGAGAAAGACAAGGTGTAAATGAAGTGTCTGGTGGATTGATTCTTTCTGTCGTCTATAAAGGATCACTGGTGGCCGACCCACGAAGCGTTTATGCAGCGTCCAAAGGCTCCTTATGATCCGAAGAGCACGCAAAGGAGTGATTTCCAGAAGCCAACCTGTAGGTTGGTTCCAGTCATTAAATACACCAAGCGGCAGCCTTCCCATGGAATAGGTAGGCATCCTCTTTTTCCCCCAACCACGTCAGGTTCAGCCAGAATGAGAAACTCACCACATGTCTCAAAGGGAAGGCCCACGGGCTGAATCTGACATGCTATGTGGCCCTCCAGATGCTCCTGTATTCCTCATCATTGGACATCATGGCTAGAGCTTATGGGAGTTGTGATACAGTAACATCTGGAATGCTGCAGTTTGTTCTGTTTTGTCAGGAGAACAATATTTGAATTTAGAGACAAGGTTTGTGGATGTGATACTGACTTTAAAATGTCCCTTCGGGGAGATAGGGTGGAATACAAATTAAGTTTCATTATATTAAAGAAATTATAGCTGGCCCTCTGTATCCATGGATTCTCCATCCAACGATTCAGTGGCCCTTTGAAGGCAACCATAATGCTGTTGTGGCCCTCAATGAAAATGAGTTTGACACCCTATAGTTTTTAACTTTGAATATGTTTTGATTGTTTTTAACTGGGATTTTTTAAAACACTGTTTATATTTATTCCTGTTTTAATGTTTGCATATTTTTATATTTTAAATTGTATGCTTATGCTTTTATGCTACACACTGCTTTGAGCCTCCTGCAAGAGAGATAAAGTGGGGTATAAATAAATAAATAAATAAATAAATAAATAAATAAATAAATAAAACACTAACCATAGAATAAGGTTGCAAATTTCATTATCTGGTCAGTGTAGACCAGCATTTCTCAATCTGGGAGTCAGGACCCATGGGAGGTTCAAGAGAGGGTGTCAGAGGGGTCACCAAAGACCATCATAAAACACAATATTTTCTGCTGGTCATAGGAGTTCTGTGTGGGAAATTTGGCCCAATTCTATTGTTGGTGGTGTACAGAATGCTCTTTGATTGTAGGTGAACTATAAACCCCAGCAACTACAACTACCAGATGTCAAGGTCTATTTTCCCCAAACTCCACCAGTTTTCACAATTGGGCATAATGAGTATTCATGCCAAGTTTGGTCCAGATCCATCATTGTTTGATTCCACAGTGCTCCCTGGATGTAGGTGAACTACAACTCCAAAACTCAAGGTCTATACCCACCAAATCCTTCCAGTATTTTTGTTGGTCATGGGAGTTCTGTATGTCAAGATTGGTTCAATTCCATTGTTGGTGGAATTCAGAGTATTCTTTGATTATAGGTTAACTATTAATCCTACAACTCCCAAATGACAAAATCAACCCCTCCAACCCAACAGTATTCACCAGTATTGGGCATATTGGATATTTGTGCTAAATTTGGTCCAGTTAATGAAAATATATCCTGCATATCAGATGTTTCCATTACGATTCATAATAGTAGCAAAAATACAGTTATGAAGTAGTAATGAAAGTAATTTTATGGTTGGGGGTCACCACAACATGAGGAACTCTATTAAAGGGCTGCAGCATTAGGAAGGTTGAGAATCGCTGGTGTAGACTTATATAATGAAGTTCATTGAAGTTTAAATTGCTTTATATGGGTATGCAGATGGGGCTTATAAATGTCTACAAATCTTAAGACCTGTATCAATACTAGAAGACCTCCACATATGTTTGCAAAGTAGGAAAGGATCTGTAACAAAAAGACAGGAAACAATAGACCCCAATGCTGTACTTAATGGCCTTTTTGTCATTATCCATCCCAATAACTAGTGATGACAGATGACTGACCTGTCTACTGCACACTGACAACACAACCTCATCTAGTCACACATCTGTGTTTTTGTTTGTTTAGTTTGGGGAGGATAACTTCCATATGTGACATTGTGTATTATACTCTCATGCAGAGGCAGAGGCAGATGTCTGATTTTAGGCTAAAGCTCTTCAAAGAATGGCCTGTTGTGGAGATGTTGAGCTTTGCAGAACTATTGCTATGAGGTTTCATGCTCCTGAGATTTTAAAAAGGTATTTTTAGGACTCAGACTCCATAACTTCCAACATTTCACAGATGAAAACTGAAATATGTGTGGGCAAGCATCATCAGTGTGTGGTCGAAGTAGCGAAGATAGACCTCTGTCATATGCACTGCAATATTTCATAGATCGAAACTGAGATGCATATGACCAAGCAAAATCAGAGTGTGGTCAAGATAGCAAAAAGTATTAAGAAGGAGGAACATCCAAGCATAGGGGAGATTGCAGCAGTTTGCTTTTGCCTGAGCCTACTGTTCTAACAGGTTCCTAAAGAGAGATACAGTCTTGTTCCTGCCAAGTGATGGCATCATGAGAGTCTCCAAATGGCCCCACCAGTGTGGTTATCATGACTATGGGTGTGTCCACAATGCTGAATTAATGCAGTTTGATGCAACTTTAACTGCCATGTCTCAATGCAATGGAATAATGAGAATTGTCGTTTTAGCCTCTTCTGCCAAAGAGTTTTGGTGCCTCACCAAACTATAAATCTCAGGATTCCATAGTATTTAGCCATGGGAAGTATCAAGCTGCATTCATTCTACAGCAGTGGTTCTCAACCTGTGGGTCCCCAGGTGTTTTGGCCTACAACTCCCAGAAATCCCAGCCAGTTTACCAGCTGTTAGGATTTCTGGGAGTTGAAGGCCAAGAACATCTGGGGACCCCAGGTTGAGAACCACTGTTCTACAGTATAGATGTACCCACAGTATATTTTCAGCATGTTTCATGGCCATACTAGCAAGGGTGTATGAAGCTGTAGTCCAAAAAGTAATATTTTTTTCTATCTGTGACACACAGTGCAATTTTTAACTGCAGAACCAGTGGTTGTTGCTGCCAATTGAGATTTCTGCAAGAGATGGAAATGATGTTTTGAGGGCACCAAGTAACATTTTGGCCCCTGTTTTTTTAAACGAATAGTTCACCCCTTCTCCAGCAGAGAATGCCTTTGTTCCTGGGCATTAGTGTAGCTTTACAGGAGCTAAAAAGGACATCCCGGGTCACCGAGCCTCTTGTGAATGCATTGTAGTCCCAGTGGCGATTCTGACTCCTAAGCCACTCCTGGCGGTTGTTTATCCAGCCTCACTTTGACCTTCTGAGCCACAAAAGAAGTTGTGTCCATGAGCTAGTTTGGGAGGATGGTGTTTTTCTGAGGCTTCTGGCCAGAAATTCATCATATAATGCTTTACATAATGTGCTGTATCTTCTATATCACTTTTTTTTGAAAGATAAGATATTTTACTTACACGAAGATAGTTACATCAACTCATTTTGCACAAAAACAAAGTGATTTTTAATCTCCGATATAGACCTTGGAGGGAGAATTTCTAATTTCCAGATGCTGTTGAACTACAGCTCCCACCATCCCTGACCATTAAGTCATGTCAGAAATATTAAAAATTAACTAGGTATTTTTAATTACAAAAATGTGAGTCAAGCACTGAAAGGTTTAAATGGATGCAATGACTCTACAAAAGCTGCAGTTCAATATAAGCAGGTGTGCCTGTAGCTTAGAAGCCCTCAGTGTCGGTAGGCCTCAGTGTGAGGTAGGCCTCAGTATGAGAAGGCCTTGTGTGTGAAGCTCCAGTGTCAAGGTTGAACTTTATTTGTATTATATAAACCTTGTTTTTGTAAATAGTGCAACCATATTATTTTACTGCAAAGAAAAGCCTCCTATGGAAGAGATAACATTGCTCTGTATATGTGGGTGGGTGGGATTTTTGGGGTTTGTTTTTTTTTTTTTTTGCTACTGGTGCTGATAAGTTACTCTGCTGTGTGTTTACGAGGAGAGTCTTTTGTTAATAAGACCACTTGCCTAACAAGTCATAGCCTACATTGCACAATTGAAAACATCCAGTTCCAGACAGTTTTATGACAAATAGTTAATAGTATTATCTGTTGAAATAAAAAAGCACCAAAACAGTAACAACATCCAGTTTTTAAAAAACAAACAAACACATACACTTGGCAATAAATCATGACTAAAAACTATTTTGTTGGCAAAAGATTGGGCAAATAAATGAAAGAATTGGCACTTTAAAATATAGTAGTCTAGGTTGCCTAATGATCTGATTTCGAAGTCAGCTTTATGAGTGAAATATCTGTTCTTCCCCCAGTTTACCGCTGTTAATACAAATCTCACTAGTAAGCTCCCAATCTTTTGAAATTGTGTCTTGACTACCATAAGTTTTTACAAGTTGCTCACATCCAAATGATTAAAGAGATGATGAATTATAGGCTATCTTCTCAGGGACATGATATTTCGACATGAAAGGGAATTCATTGCTGCCAACAGAACACATACACATATGCTACCAATTGTCCTGCTTTGGTAGGAACAGTTCCAATGAATCATCTGTTTTTTCTACCTTCTCAGCTGTTTGTAAAATGTCCTGGTTTCTTTTTCTTCCTCCCACTTTCCCCCTCTGTTATAAGATCACTGTAGTTGTTGCAAACTGAGCTCAAACTGCAAACTGAGCTCAAACTCAGCATGGAGGAGATGAGAGGAATGGCAGAATCCTACTCTTCCCAGTAGGGTCAGGCCAAAGCAAACTGCTGCAAGCTCTCCTAGACTGAATGTTCACACTCTGATCTTGCTTAGCCATGCATGTCCCAGTTTTCACCTGGGAACTAGAGGTATGCAGTAGAGTTCAGGTAGATATCAGGCAACAGCCTGAATTCACTAAAGCAGTTCTGAAATGTATAACTTAGATTTATGCATTCACAACTGCTTCATAGTAATTATTTCTATGTATTCTCTTGTTTAGGAGACTTTAGGAGATATGTAAAGACTGTGTAAACATCCCCCAATCCCTTCTTACTGGGCAGCAGCCATTGTTCCTGTTGCCTAGGAAGAAAGCTACTGATTGAGGTTCTATCCATCTCTAAAAATAATCTCTAGTGCAAGGAGGAATTGTGACAGGGATTCTGTTCTTGACTGTCACAATGCAGATCGTTTCCACTTATTAGCTGCCTGGGAGTGTGGTGGAGTTTCTTCTCTGGTAGTTTTTCAGCAGAGGCTGGATGGCAATCTGTTGGGAGTGCTTTGATTATGTATTCCTTCATGTCAAGGGGTTGGACTGGATGGCATTTGGAATCTTGTCCAACTCTATGATTGTATAATTTATGGAAGTGTGTGGGAGCATCAAATCAACTGCTTTCTGAACGATATAGGAACAGACTCCTGTTGCTTGCAGCAGCTGCTGTCCTGTAATTGGGTACTGGGAAAGTCAGGCCAGGAGACACTATATATTCATCACTGCCTTATATTATTTTATCAGGAATTTTGCTCCCAAGAGTTTGCGAGCTATAATAAAATGGTGAACAATAACCAGTAGATTACAGCATGAAGTAGTTATTTCACTGAATAACATCTGTCAGGCTTCCCAACTCAACACAGGAGTAAGGCATTTCTGAGAACTATAGTCCAAAATTAATATGCAAACCATGACTACGTTTCATAGGTTACACATTTCTGTACTCATTGGGCCAGAATATAGGCAGATCCAGATTCTGTTCATATAGAACATGTAGGCCAAATTATGTTAAAGTGTTGTAGATTTGCTTGTACCACCAAATATGGGTGGGGGACAAGGAGACAGAACAATTTAGTTTCTTAAAGCATTGCCCTTGTAGCAATTGTTCAGTTCTGACACATTTTTTCAGACATTAATGATACGAGTAAAAGTAAAGTGAAACAAGATGGGATGAGATCTTAATATGTCCAGATTTTGGCTTTTGTTTCTGAAAAGGCTTTTGAGAACAGAGAGAATGTGTTGTAGCTGGGCACACGATCTTGATATTCTGGGAGAAATGGGCCCCATTCTGGAAGAAATTCAAGATCAAGCTCATTTCAGAGTTGGAAGCTGTGGTGATAGATCTATAATAGTTTGTGGAATGCAGGTTGGGAGCTTTGCCACCTAGAGATTCCCAGCTGGAATCCCTTGGTATATTGTAGACATGATATAGGGGATATTTAGTAGGGTTGTGCGTGGAACTGTTTTCCTTAACACGAAAGCAAGCAGGAGTCAATCCCGGCTCGTTGCCTGCTTTTTGTGAGCACATGGCGCTCCATGCCTCCACATGTTTAGAACAGTGATGAGGAACATATGGCCCTCCACTCCACCATCCCTCATCAAAGGCTAGCCTAATAGGACCTCTAATAGGACCTCTGAGGGGCACAAATTTCCTAAATCTGGGGCCCTTTTACCATTACCCAATCATAGTGCTGTGATTCCACTTACATTGCCATGGCTGCATCTTGTAGAGTTCAGGGATTTCTAGTCTTGTGTAGTTTTGTGGATAATTCTAAATACTCGTTCCTAAGTACAAATCCTGAATTGCAAGTCCCATGGTTCTACCGGATGTTGCAATGGCAGCCCTAGTGGAGTCATGGTGCTGCAATTGTGCAGTGTGAAAGAGCTGCTGGTCTGTGGACTAACAGCTGCCCAACATTTCCAAATGACAAAGAAGAATATGATCTCATTGTGTGTGTTTGTAAGTCACAGACAGTGGGATCTTGCAATACAAGACTATAGTACCGTGCTGCTTAAAGTGGCCATTTAAAGACCAGTGTTGATCCACAAGCTATTTCCTTCCATTCTATAGTATGTTTCCAGGAACAATGTGTGGGCACAAATTTGATGCGGCCCATGACATATTTGGGGAAACTCCCTGCCACACATCAAACAATTTAAGCTTCAGTGTGATAATGTTCCTGAATATTTTACAGAATGCAAGAAAAAGAGGAGAGGAGTGGGTGGTGTGCAGATTGGAAAGGAACATAGTACATGAATTATGAAAACACTTCATCATAGCATATTCAGGACTGCACACTTGCTTCATGTCAGGGCTGGGCAAGGCTGCTAAGCTGGAGAAAACCACTTAGCCAACGACAAAAGGCACATGAGACTTTCCTTCCATATGGACCATGCCCTGCACACAAGTGGAATAAACGAGATGACAGTTCTGATGTTCATAAGATCAGTTTTGTATTTCTGCAGCTACTCAACCTGAATGAGCTTTATTGGGAGGTGAAAACTATATAACTTGATGGTCAAGCAACTGCCTGATGCAAAAAGTCAGTGGTTCAATCCTTGACATCTCTAGTGAAAACAGGATCATCTCAGCAAGAGGAATGTTGTGGATCAGCAAGCAGCAGAGGATTTTTCTGATGTTTCAGAGGATGAGGGCATTGATGGGTTTGACAGTGAAGAGTCTGCTAGTGATCAGAGAGAACTGCAGGCCGAGAGGCCAGTGTTTGGGATTCCTCTGGCCGTTCCCAGGCAACAGACAGTGACGATTGCAGTTCCCTTGTGAAATTGCAATGGGAAGTTTTCCCGTGAAACCAGATTAGGTTTGCGGATGGAGGGAGTGAAAGATAGACTAATTAGACATTCTGAGGGAATTTGTTAGAAGTCCTTAAAGCCCAGGTACATTCGGCATGATCTCATGGTTTCTTGGTTGGGCTTGGGCTTAAATTAAATGGTGTTTACTTGGTGCCTCTCAGAAGACACAGCATTGCCATAAGGATGGCTATCCTGTCTCTGCTCTCAAGTTCATGATTCATATGTCCTTTTTCTGCCTATGTTCCTTGAAAAATGTTCTTCTTTTCATTTTTATGGATTTATTCTTGAGTTTTTGGTTCCATTGACTTTATGTATTTGGAAATTTTTGAATTGCTGCTATTATGTATTTCCTACTCTACTGCATTTTTGGGAAATGTCTTTTTCCCCTTTGTGCATGCTTTTCTTAATAAACTTTTGTAGCTAGTACTAGTGGACTCTGGTGTGGTGCTGGGTGAAAAAGTGTCTCAAGGCTAGAGTGCAACAGGGAATACCTCCTCCCGCTTCTTGTCACAAGCCATTGTGATAGGCACCAGCTCAGATGGTTTCAAAAGGAAGTGGATTAAAGGCCAATAGTGATGAAAACACCTGCTAGAACCAGAGAGGGCATTCTGGCATGGTACAAAAACACTGAGAGGCAGAGGCACAAGTTGCCTTCATGTTCTGCTGGGCTTGCCATAGTCAGTGGGTTGCCTGCTCTTGAACATGAGGATGGATTAGATGGGTCTTTGGCAGGCCTGTAGCCAGGATTTCGTTTTGGGGGGGGGATTTGGGGGGGGGTCAGGGGGGCTGAGTTTTGGGGGGGCTGAGTTTGGTGGGGGGGCTGAGTCTGAGTGAAAGAGGGTCTACCCTAGCAAACGTTTTATATCATTACCCCAATACCCCCATGCATATTTATTTATTTATTTATTTATTATTTTATTTATTATTTGCACTTATTGACCGCCACTCTCAGCCCTAGGGCGACTCGTGGCGGTGAACAACAACATGGAAAAGACAGTATACAGCAAATCACGACAACACATACCAACTACTACTACATAACATACACTAAAAATCCGCTTCGTCAGAATCCTGGGGTCATAGTCAATTTCATAGTCATAATCCATTCCAGTATCGTTCCAATGATACACTCAGTTGAAGGCCTGCTCGAAGAGCCAAGTTTTCAGGCTCCTCCGAAAGGCCAACAGGGAGGGCGCCTGTCTAACTTCAGCAGGGAGGGCGTTCCACAGCCGGGGGGCCATATGAGATATATTGAGTATGGTGATCAGATCATGATATGAATAAACATAACAGTTTAAATAATGCACCAGTAAGGCCTTTTCGCGAACCACCATGAGAATTTCGGGGGGGGGGGGGGGCTAAAGCACCTCAAGCCCCCCCCCCCACCCCCCCGGCTACATGCCTGGTCTTTGGCCATGTTTCTAAGCATATTAAAGGGTCTATTGAGATGTTTTGGGGGAGATGTATACAGAGAACGGGGAGAATACTTACAGAATTCACATCAGCAGATGAATTTGTATGACTGCTGAATTGTGCATGTTCAGAGGTCAAGAGTGTGTCCAAGCCAGTGAATCCACTCTCAGCTTTAAAAGGATGTATCCAAAGTGCTGAACCCTTTCTCCTGCAGCTAAATCATGGTAGAAATTGCAATGAAATGGGCCCTATTATCCCCAAGCATGGATAACACCTTGGTTAACTGCTTTACAGTTCAGACTGACACCCACCATAGATTCTACATCCCATCCTTCCCAACATGAGAGCCACCAGCTGTTCCTGGTGTGCACATATTTGAGTATAGCCTTTAGTGCTGAAAAGGTTTTGTTTCCCTAATTTACATAGTGTACGTAATTTCACAGTATTCCAGAATGCATCATGCCTAATTCCACTATATGTTTTGCCTGCTTGATATCATAGTTCCGCTTACTTCTCCGCGACCGTCGCTAGGCAGCCTCCCAAGAATTTTCCAGGAGCAGATTAGTTTCAAACATAATTACGATGCCAGAGCAACTCCCAATATCCCGTATCAAGGAAAGGTAAGGCCATGTGTATCCGGTGCTACTACGGTTCAGCAGGAAGCCAGAGGCATATGTTTATCCCAAGGCCTCCAACTCATTGTTCTAATAGCACCAGGGAATGCATTGTGCTGATTAGAATTACCAGCATTTGGTACTAACAAACAAATGGCCCGGCTGCTGTCTTCTGGGCCTTTAGGCTTTTAGAAAGATGGAATATGACCATTTTGGGCATGATATGTTGCCTTTGCTAGGACAAAGTAGCAGAAGACAAGATATTCAGCTACAGCTCCTACTTAGCAAAGATCAGCACATGCCCGGGAAAGCAAAATTTCTCTTGGTTGTAAACAAAGCAATGACTACAGTATGGCCTCATTGTCCACAGATGGAGCCCGTGGTGGTGCATTGGGTTAAACTCTTGTGCCGGCAGGACTGCTGACCGAAAAGTTGACAGTTTAAATCCAGGGAGGAGGGTGAGCTCCCATTTGTCAGCTCCAGCTTCCCATGCAGGGACTTGAGAGAAGCCTCCTACAGGATGGTTAAACATCCAAGTGTTCTCTGGGCAATGTCTTTGCAGAAGGCCAATTCTCTCACACCGGAAGCAACTTGCAGTTTCTCAAGTAGCTCCTGACACGAAAAAAAGAATTGTCCACTGATATGATTTCCACGAATTCACTTACCCATGCTCAAAAAAAATCCTCTCTAATATATCACAGATGAAAGCTTTCAGATGCATGACCACACAGCATCAAATTGAGTTCTAAAGGTATTAATGAGGAAGAATGCACAAGCTAAGAGGGATTGTAGTAGTTTGCTTTTTGTCAGTCTTTACTGAGAAGAGCCCTTAGGTAAAGGTAAAGGTTTCTCCTTGCGATTAAGTCTGGTCGTACCCGACTCTGGGGAGTGGTGCTCATCTCCATTTCTAAGCCAAAGAGCCGGCATCGTCCGTAGACTGCCAGATTGTGTAGCTGGCATGACTACATGGATTGTGTTACCTTCTTGCAGAAGCGATACCTATTGATCTATACACATTTGCATATTTTTGAACTGCTAGGTTGGCAGAAGCTGGGCCTAACAGCAGGAGCTCACCCCACTCCCCGGATTCGAACCACCAACCTTTTGGTCAGCAAGTTCAGCGGCTCAGTGGTTTAACCTGCTCCACCACTGGAGCAGGTTAAATTACCTTTGCACTTGAATATCAGTTTGTAACAATTCAAGTGAGCTAGGGATAAAAGGGAAAAGTGGGAGGAAGAAAGAAAAACCAGGACATTTTAAACACAGATGAAAAAATAGTACAGCACAGGAGTAATCAAAATTGTCCCTGTCAAATCGGAACAATTGGACAGCATGTGGTAGGAGCTCTTTACAAACCCTGAGTGTCACTGTAATGAATCCTTTGAATAAGATATTAATGTGAAGGCATCACTCTTGGCTTGGAGGTAGGGAGGAGTGTGGGAGAATCAATAAAGTACCATGAAAGGGGAAGATGTGGGGCCATCCAGATTGCCCAGAATCGTGTTTGCAAAATGTTATCATCAAAATGTTGGGAGAAAAAGGAATCCTATTTCCCCCAGCCCCACCACTTATTTTTCCTTTCTCTTCTTAAAATGTATCAGCTCTTCTGCTGCAGATTTAATGGCCAGCGTTATTTGGAAACCTGTCGTAAATCTTCTGGCCTGCGCAAAGCAAAATGCTCTAGAAGGGTATCCATAGCAACTCGGGTAGCAAGAAATGAAATCTGATGGGAATAGAGTTTGATCAACAGAGATAAGATCGAAGCAGCACATGCTGTGGGTAGGAACGTCAGAAAACCAGAACCAGGATGCAGCAAATGGAAGGATGATGGAGAGATCGCAGTTCCTCCCTTTCCACTTGTTGCCTCTTTCTCCAACTTTTCATGCCCTTCCCCATGTTTCTGGATGAAAAAGATGATGTCTCAGCCTTCCTTCTGTTACTCCCAGCTATCAAAATGTAGGCCGTGGGCCAAAGGGGAGGCCAAGGGAGGAAAAGGGATGTTGTGCCAGCACTTGAGCTAATAAATGAACTCAGCCCAAGCAGCTGCATCGCCTCACCGCTTATGTATCCTTGGCTAACATAGGTTTCGCTTCCCTTTGTAGAAGCGCGGCACCTTTGTGTGGACCCAGATGAAACCAGAGAAGGTTCCTGAGGGAACCAAAGCAAAGTCTTGTGCTCCTCAGGGATCAGGTTTTCTGGAAGAGCCAAAAACAGAGAAAGGAAGCTCAGTGGGAAACGGCGTGACCTCCGCCTGCCTTCTCTTGCCAGAATCCCAGGAGACACCACCAGACTCTGACAAACACTTATCAGAAACAGACGTCGGCCCAGGAGCCAAGGCAGACCCCAGAACCATGGAAGGAGGACAAGAGAGTTCAGAGATTTCTCAGGCAAACGAAATGGAAGTTAGCTGTCCTCCTTCCAGTCCAGCAAAGGCTTCCTCCGGGAGACCGCACAGCCTTTTGCCTCCTCTTCATCCCACTACACAATCTCCGGGAGAAATTCAAAGAACCTAGAAGGACTGTCCAACTGAGGGGGCGTTGGGCTGGCTGCAATTTCAGTGACGCCAAACACAAACTGACACCAGCAAATTGTTCACGGCAGCACACTCCTAACCTCCCCATAACAACAGCTGCAGTCTGCTTTGATGGTCCTTGGAAAATGAGAGGCCTGTTCGCAAAAGACACCATGGATCTTTGATTCCCACTCCCACATTGACCCACTCAGATTTTCCTTTTCAATTAGAATTATTGTGCAAATTATTCTTCAACAGATATTGCTCACTCACATGAAATTATCTGGATTTGCTGGGGAGAGGTCTTTAGGAACAAAGACATCTTTATCATTTAATATCAAAGTAGGGCTATACCTTTTTCAGACTACTAAAATATAATTGCAAGGGTCATCTTCGTAATGTTAGCACTACAATAAAGATATATTGTCCTACCTCGTTTTAGGTTGTATTTATAGATTTCACAGCTCTGTTTCTTTTTGTTTAGCAATTAACAATGTCAATTGAGTGTCGTGTGGTTTCCTGGCTGTACTAGCCACAGAGGCAGGCAAAACATCAGGAGAAAATGCTCCTAGAGCACAGTCATACAGCCCAGAAACCACACAACACCCCAATGATTCTGGACATGAAAGCCTTCGACAATAAAATTAATAATATCAATTTTTAATTGGATTCTACCCATATAAATGCAAGGACTAGAGCAGCGGTTCTCAACCTGGGGTCCCCAGATGTTTTTGGCCTATAACTCGCTTTGGTTAGACCACACCTGGAATATTGTGTCCAATTCTGGGCACCACAATTCAAGAGAGATATTGACAAGCTGGAATGTGTCCAGAGGAGGGTGACTAAAATGATCAAGGGTCTGGAGAACAAGCCTTATGAGGAGTGGCTTAAGGAGCTGGGCATGCTTAGCCTGAAGAAGAGAAGGCTGAGAGGAGACATGATAACCATGTATAAATATGTGAGATGAAGCCACAGGGAGGAGGGAGCAAGCTTGTTTTCAGCTTCCCTGGAGACTAGGACATGGAACAATGGCGTCAAACTACAAGAAAGGAGATTCCATCTGAACATGAGGAAGAACTTCCTGACTGTGAGAGCCGTTCAGCAGTGGAACTCTTTGCCCCAGAGTGTGGTGGAGGCTCCTTCTTTGGAAGCTTTTAAACAGAGGCTGGATGGCCATCTGTCAGGGGTGCTTTGAATGCAATATTCCTGCTTCTTGGCAGGGGGTTGGGCTGGATGGCCCATGAGGTCTCTTCAAAGTCTTTGATTCTATGATTCTATGAAATCCCAGCCGGTTTACCAGCTGTTAGGGTTTCTGGGAATTGAAGGCCAAAAACATCTGGGGTCCCCAGGTTGAGAACCCCTGGTAGAGGAAAGCAGAAGGGGAAGGGAGCGAAAACATGTAAGATATGAAAATTACCTCACCATATTTTTGAACATAAGATGACCATATCTCCCCTTTTGAGTTGGAGTTGACATATCTAGAATGTCTATTTGTATAAGATAAAGCACTAAGATCTTGTAACTATTGAGTGATGGATAGTAGATATCTCTTTTCCTAGCCTTGGAGCATGACACTTTTAGAGGGAGTAAGACGGTGAGGATCAAATCACTTCTGGAACATGGCCATACAATCTGGAAAACTCACAGCAACCCAATTTTAGAATTCTCTGTATGTGGTAATGATCTTTGAAGCTGCCATTTTTCAATCTCTTGAGTTGATCACAAAATGTTATTTATTTATTTAGAACATTTATACCCTGTCCTTCTCAACCTCTAAAGAGGGACTCAGGATGGCTTCCAACAGGCAACTATTCAATGCCAGCACTATATAATAAAATAACATAAAATACAATTCGCATACATTAAAAACAGTTATGAATATACATGCAAACAGTTGGCTGGTTCAAATTGTCATCCAAATCAGTCCATTGTGGTCCACTAAAACCTTATCATCACCAGTAAATCTGTAAACACTTGATCCCTCAGCCAGGATTTGAGTTTCTTCCAGAAAATCAGAAGGGATGGGGCAGCTCTAATCTCATAAAGGAGAGAGATCCACAGCTGAGGGTCCACCACAGAGAAGGCCCTGTTTTTTGTCCCCACCACACAACTGCGATGGTGGTGGGACCAAGAGCAGGGCCTCACCAGATGATCTTAAGGTCCTTGGTGGTATGTAGAGGGAGATATGTTCGGATAGGTAAACTGGGTTGAAACCATTCCTTGTCAGAACTATGTATGTTCCACCCAATTAAGCTAACACTTATCCCACTTATCCAAGATGAAAGAGAAGCGAGTCAAGAACTTGCATTTATTGTCCAGGACCTCTGAGGGAATCCAGAGGTTATTGACCCACAATAAATGACTGCAAGCTGCAGTCCCAAAGCCTTCTCTTAACTTGAGTTAGAAGTTCCCAAGAGGTCTACAGATGTAAACAACGTTTGGACTCCAATACAATGTACATTCTTAGGGTTGACTGCCCCTAGCTGCACGAAGATACATGTCATGGCCAAGACAGGGAAAAGGGAAGGGAAGGCAGCCATTGAAGCCCCTCCTGTTGAGCTGTGGGAATAGAATGTCTTCTTTTATCTTCTCCTTGCTGCTTTGAAGAGTTTTTAGCTCACACAGATCAATGACCCAGCGGGAGAGTTTACTCAGCTGTTTCTGAGGTAATGCCTCTCGCCTAGGTTCCTTACAATGCTCTCGAAATGTTAGAAAAAAGTCACTGCACATTTTGGAGAGCAACATGTAGATTGCAAGCATCTGGTGCCGGGGAGACCTACAAGGTTTATTTTCCAGTGCAAATAACCCTACAAATGCCAGTTGTGCTTCTTGAAGGGATTCTGCTATGATTTAAAAGGCTTCTGGTGAAAAACATTATAAATTTCAGCTCAAATGCCTTGCAGTAAAAATCTTTGCTTCTTCATATGGATTTAGTCCTGATTACTCCTCTGTCATTCCACTTTTTCCGTTGTGTTTAAAATGTCTTCTGCCCACCTTTCCCCTTAGTCTTCAGCTTTCTTCAGCTTTTGCAAACTGAGTTCAAAAGGCAAAATAAATTCATATTAAGTTAAAGCGAGCACATTAAACCCAGTGAAATGCTGAGGGATGGTGTGGTTGCACTCCATAATTATCTAAAGGGCTTTCACAGAGTGGAGGGTGGTTTTTGCTGCACCAAATGGTAGGACCAGGTCAAATGGTTTTATGTGAAGAAGGTGGATTTTGATTGAACATTAGAAGAAACCTCTTAACAGTTAAGAGTGGGACAACAATGGATCCAACTGCCCAAAATAGTCCCCTTTGCTGAACAGCTTCAAAAAGAGGTTGAACACCTACTTGCTGAGGATCTTCTAAGTAGGAGTTGGCCTTGATGACTTATAGGGCCTCTTCTAACTTTTCGATCCAACTGTTCTACTATGATTAAAGAGGGTGAGTTAATGTATACAGATTAAAATTCAGTGGGATCGCTTCCTCACTAACATCTGAACCACCGATCTCCATTGCCAAAGCTACCATGGAAATGGAGGTTGCGTCTCACTTTGAGATAAAGGCAATATATAACTAAATACATGCATATTCATACATTAATAAATTGTCCTGCACTAATAAATTGTCCTGCACTACTCAGTACCAGTGGATGTTGACAGTCACTTGGGAAGAGTTCATACTGGTATGGAAAGCAATTTTGGTCTACCGTAGTCTCATAGATGGATTCCTGCATGGCAGGAAAGTAAACTAGATGTGGTCCCTTCCAACACTAATATTCCATGATTCTGTCATTCAAAGAAGAAGGACACCACTAAATGTTGCACTCTAGGACAGAAAAGGCCCTCTGACTTTAAAACACCACGCCGTTGAATGGGAAACAATCTCCTACATACACACTCCCACAGCACAAAGGAAGGAGGAAGGTGCCATGAAGGGGGTAATAGGGACACATGAAACTGACATTGCTGGGAAAGGAGCCCCAAAGACCAGGCCAACCTCATTTGGCAGTAAAGGAAGACACCATCAAAGCCCTCACAACAGATGGCCAACCAGTTGGAAGGGAGCCCTAAAGGCCATCCAGTCCAACTCCCTCCTTCCCTCCCTCCCTCCCTCCTTCCTTCCCTTCCTCCCTTTCTCTACTTCCCTTCCTTCTCCTACCTTTACTTCTTTCCCTCCCACCCTTCCCTCCTTCCTTTCCCTCTTTCCCCCCTTTCCTTTTCTTTATCACTCCTCCCTCCCTTTTCTTCCTCCCTTTCTTTCCTTCCATTTTCTCCATCTCTCACCAGGAGGGAAGAAAGGAGGGAGGGAAAAGGGAAAGAATGAAGGAGGGAAAGGGGGAAGGAAGGAAAGAGAAAAAGAAGGGAAAGAAGGAAAGAGGGAAGGAAGGAGAGAAGGAAGGAAAGAAAGAAAGAGGTACCGAAGGAAGGAAGGAAGGAAGGAAGGAAGGAAGGAAGGAAGGAAGGAAGGAAGGAAGGAAGGAAGGAAGGAAGAAGAGAAAGTAGAATAAAGGAAAGAAAAAGGGAGGGAAATGCAGGAAAGTGTTAAAGAAAGAAGGAAGGAGAAAAGGAAAAAGTGAAAGAAGGAATGAAACAGGGAAAGAAGAAAGGAGGGAAGGAAGGAGAGAAGGAAGGAAAGAAAGAGGTACTGAAGGAAGGAAGGAAGGAAAGAAGGAAAGAAGGAAAGAAGGAAGGAAGAATAGAAAGTAGAAAAAAGGAAAGAAAAAGGGAGGGTAATGCAGGAAAGAGGTAAAGAAAGAAGGAAGGAGAAAAGGAAATAAGTGAAAGAAGGAAGGAAACAGGGAAAGAAGAAAGGAGACAAAGGAAGAAGTAGAGAAAGGAGGAGGGAAGGAAGGAAAGAGAGAAGGGAGGATGAAACCAAAGAGTGAAAGAAGGAATGAAAGAAAGAGGTAGAAAAGGAATAAAGGAGAGAAAGGGGAAGAAAAAAGGAGGGGAGGGGGGGGGAAGGTAGGTACCTCTCTTTCATAATAGTTCAGATATCGACCTCTACTTTGAAAATTCTTGCTATAGGCCACAACAGCGCATGGCAGGGCACAGCTAGTTCTATATAAATGCATAAGACTACTGTCCATTCTCCCAATGAAAGATGAGACCAGGGTGTATTTTCTGTAGTTTGTTTGTATGTCTCTCCTTTTTGTTTTCCCTGACAAATAGTTGCTTGCAGCTGTATTCGCTGAGATATCCTGTTACACAGTTACTTTAATTTCATCAAGCTGGTTGTTGTGCAATTATTTTTCCCAGTTAATCATGGGCCATGCCTGGTTTCTCCAGAATGGAGTCACTGCCTAAGAAGGACAGGAGCTTTATTTAAAGGCTACCTGATATAATCTGGGTTCAAGTGTCTCATAAAGCGAGACTTAAGAGCTGAGTTTTGGATTAGCTAGTGAAATGAATTTGTCACCTCCAATTCATTCATACATTAAGCA